TTATCTAATTAGATGAAGGACAAAAAAAGAGCAACGACGAATGATCAAAGGATAATATAATCAACTTTGCGTTACCCTACCTTTTGAAAATGTTTGATGCAGTACGTTATTTTGAGTTTGTAACTGTTTTTATTTTTCATTGTTGTTGTGGTTGTTGCTGAATGTCCATTTTTTAAATGACCCAACTGACTTTATACATATAGCTTTGATACCTGCGTCAACTGAATGTTTGCGGCTTTCTTCATTTTATTTTGGAGTATCCATTTCCCCCCGAGATGTGTCATCAGCATCCCCTGAGGTCATTCGCCTCAACCCGAAAGAGAAGAACGTTATTATAGTCACAAATGCCACTGTCTAGTGTTTCCAACTCTTTATTTTATTTCTTGCAGAGGCCCCCCCTTTTCTCCCCGATTGAATGATTATTGATCTCTTTGTTTTTCGCATTGCCGCACATTTTTGCTCAATTCTTCGGAAGCGCCAAGAGAGAGAAAAAATTAGGAAGAGCCCGCTGATTCCGCGGAGGTTGGTTTTTTTTTTTGCGTGTGCCTATTTGTTTTGGCCCTTTGAGGAATGTCGAAGAGAGAGAGAGACAGAGAGGGAGAGAAAAGACCAAGTGTGTGTGTGAAGACGAGCAGAATACTGCATAGAGGGTGCTTGGTATGAATCGGTCGGAGAGCATCGGAGGCAGTGGCCCGGAATCCGGACTCACGCCCGTGACCGCGCACAACCTTAGGCCTGCATAATGCGGGCCTCGTGCTGCATCCCATTGGCCTCTTCTTCTTCTTGTTCGTCTTCGTCTTCTTGTTTTCCATTCTGCTTTTCCTTGTGTTGTTGTTGTCGTTTTTTTCTTGTCTTGTTGTTCCAATCTCTTGCTTTTCCCCCTCTTGCACTGTCTCACCGACAAACAACGAAGCAACCCAAGTCTAGCTCTCTCTTTCTTTCTTTCTCTCTTTCTCTTCTCAAGAGTTGAGGGCAAGGGGAGACGAGAAATGCATTCCTTGGCGGTGAAATTCCATACTTTTGGACCGCAAGCGTTTTGATTCGCATAGTAGATGATGTCCCGGAATCGAGTCAGTTCATGACTGAAAAACCAACGTCGTCATCATCATCATCATCAGCATTTGCATGGTCTTTGTGGATGAATGAGTTAACTAGGGGGCAGGTTTAGTACTTCACGTGTGAGACGAGATTTTATTTCATTTTCAGTTTATATATATTTTTTATACCTTGAGTGGGTTCAAGAATTTTTATCCTTCAACTACTGGACTTCTTGAAGGGTTTCGTTGTTCAACTTTTTTGGAAAAGCGGGGTGGTTTTAGTTGCGTTGAATGTGTCTGTCTCTTCCATCAGGTGCAAAGGGTTATGCCGCAACACACTTGGTAGTGGAATACAGTACAATGCAATACTGTACTGTACTGTACCTTGTTTGTTTGTCATCCATCTTGTTGGTTAAAGGCATCTTTTCATAGTTGGAAATTGTTATTACCGTAATCATGCTGTACAAAAGAAGACCACGTTCATTTCAAATGTAAAGGGAGAATGAATGGCCTTGAAAACTCTTTTAAACTTCAGGGGGAAAAAATTGACATTTGCATCTTTCGGATAAAGTATAGCACGCTATCGCTGGTGTTTTGATTTCATCGATATTACGGTAATTTCGAGAAACGATAGAATTCCGATCAATCTTGTTGATGAGGATCGGGAATTTTCCGAGAGAAACGGATATCGAGTGATGGTGTTCAAAAAGGGGGGGGGGGAATGGCTTGACATATTCATTAATACCAACATTTTCCCTAAGTTTCAAAGCTTGCATTTTTATTTTATTGTGTATGCTGGAGAAGATCATGTGGCTCAAGGGAAGACATAACAAGCAAAAGCGGTTTCGTTCATTTTTCTCCACGTCTGGGGGGTGTAAAATACGACTTTCTCGATTCGAGAAAGATCGATTTGTTCGGAATGAACGTGTTTTTCTGGAATTCCCGTAATTTTCATTGGTGTAATTCCCTGGATTCACTTCCCACTTGTTTGTAAATTTGACGCTTTTCACAAGTGCGTTGACTTGTTTGTGTGTTTTTTTTCCTACCTGTCGGAAAAGTAGTGCCCTGAAGGGGAAAAGGATCGTGTGTGTGTGTGTGTATTGGCTGTTCTCATATGTGAGTAACGGTTGAAGCAGCAGCGTTTTGCTCACACGGTGCTTTCCTGGGCTGCACTGGACTGGAAATTGATGCCGTACTTGATGGACGGCTTGCCGGCGGTTGAAAACCATTGTAGAGTAGAGTACAGCATGTATGTGTGTGTGTAAAAGGATGAATGTTGTGCGTTTTCCTTCGCGTTTCTCACTTGGTCTGTTTTATTTCCATCTTCCACCCACTTGTTTTTCTTTTTTTTTTTCCTCGTTGTCTCCCACCACCACCACCACCATCACCAAGGTGAAAAACGGTCCGTTTACTCTTGCCTCGTTTGGCCGCGACGTTTTCCACCAAGAGTTCCCTGCGGATTTCCGAGCAGCAGTGAGTTTGGTGGGATTTCGTGAGGAACATGGTGTGTGCAGAGTATTTTTCGCATTTATTTTCAACTCTTTCCTTTTTTTTCCCCTCGCTAGTATTATTATTATTGTTATTATTCAATGGAAGGAGGAGACACACGGACTGGGGGTGGGTGGTGGTGGTGGAATGTGTGTGAGTTGCGGTTTTTGGTGCAGCGTCTGGTCTGGGAACTAAGACGGCGAGGAGTTCTCTTGTCAGGTGGCTGGTACTTGCTGCTTCCGGTTTGGTTTCTTTCTTCACGCGGCCGCCCCTTCTTTATTTCTATTTTTATTTTATTACTTTCTTCATTTTCCGTCGCATGCCTGTTGCTGCTTCTGTCTTTAATTTTTGGGTTCACCTTTTTTTTTACTTTTTTGAGAGAGGCACAGTTGAATGGGTTTTTTTTGTGTGTGAACCTCACCAGACAGGTTCTTGACCCCCCCCCCACTTCAGCTCGTCTTCTTCCTTGAGAACCCCCCTCTCTTGAAAGGATGTTGGTCCCGATTGAAGAGGAGAAAGAGCTCAGTGTGTGTCTGTGCTGATTTTCTCAAGTTTCCTACAGTGGTTGGGTGAAAAATGAGAAAATGAGCCCGAGTTTGAAGAACTGACTCGTACATTTTATTTTTCCAAGGGGATTTTCTTTCATTGGTCAGACTTGCGAATAATAAAAAAAGGGGACATTGCTCTCTTATCAAGCAATATTTTAAACTTTGGGTCTTGATTCCTCTCATCATGATTTCCAACAATGTTAAGGTCGATCAATCTATTGCCAAAATTTCCGCTTACATTCTTTTGAAGTTTAGCTCCGAAAAATATTTTCGCACTTGATATCAGCAGCAACCATTTTTTCGGTTTTGGCATCTTACAAATAATCAATATAGGCCAACTTCACTGGCTGGGAGACGGAATGCTGAACGCGATTTCTGCGTTGTCGATGGATTTTCTGGTTGCCAAATCAATTTCAAGTGTGGACGAAAGAAAAAACAAAAGGTTGATAAATTCACCGTTGAGATTATTTTCTGTTGGATCAAGTGACGCGTTTTTTGAACTTTCCGTGGTGCTGATACAGTCTGTAAATTAAAGTTTGCCGTTATGGAACGAAAAAATATAATTCGTTTTGGAATTCTTCACTCCGGTGTCGAGTGCTGGAGCCCGGGCATCTAGGAAATCTCAAGTTAGTGGAAAGATTCGCAGGAATGGGAGAAATAATACTTTTTGAAAATCTCGAACGCCAGCCTGTGATTCCAAGGCCGCTGTCGAGAAATTGTCGTGACTGTAAAGACACTGCATATGAAATCATTTTCTCGACTGTGAAAATTTCTCGATATTGAAATTAAAAAAGAAAAGCATGTCTGCGTCCATTATCATATCTGACTAATGGTTTCAGTATATGGGCAATGTCCCTGGTGTCAGTGATTTATTTTCTCAATTTTTATTCTGCGTAGAGAAATTTTCTTTTTGGTTTCACTCAATTTCAGTGCCAAAATCGATATTTATTCTCAAGATTCGAAACGGCGGGAAAATTCCGCATTTATTCCTTTATGACACGTTTTTGATGCGTTATAGTCTGAGGGTCGAACGAAGAGAAACCAGGAAATTGTAGGAAGAAAAATTATAGTCATTCGGCTGTCTTTTGAGTAATGCACTGAACGGTAATTACTCAAGTATTTCCCGATGATTATTTTTTCACGGCTTCTCTTGCCCCTCACCGCTGAAAAATGCAAAATTGTCACGCACACGTCCTTCCATCAGTCATGAATGCTGACGGACAAAATGCCCATATTCGCTCGATTTATNATTCCTATAAAGTTTCCAACAATACATAAAGCCAAGGAAAAGAACCACAATTTTGCAGATCACTTTTCTATTCACGCAAAATCCAGTTCCGCATTCCAACGCCTCCGGGCACATGGAAAAAAAAAACAGGCTTTTATTTCACAATTTTGCGCAAATAAAATGCCCAGGATTTACGGCATGAAAGCGTCTTCTGTGCGCAAAGAATCAACTTTTGCTGCTGCCACGCAGGCACGAGTTCTTCGCAATTCACTGACGGCCGCACCTCAGAACTCAATTCTTCCTACAGCAGTCGCATTTCTAGCACCAACTTATTCATGAATGCCACATTAATGCATTTCCCTCACTCAAACGTGTGCCTCAGTTGGAAGCATTGATTGGTTCTCATAGCACGTCTGTTAAACGCAAAGTAAGTTACCCAAAAACATGAGATCTTCCAAATCCTCCGAAATAAGATGATTTAAAAAAAAATAATGGAGCTAAATAGAATTTTCAGCATTTTGAGTAGATGAGCTTTTTCCATACTGTAAATTGCATAAAATCGTTACTCTCGTTTCCAAGTGATTTTCCTGAACTTCTGGGCTAGCAAGTAGAAAACACACTGAAGAGATTATTTCCTAGGAATTTATCCCGTTATATTGTACTGTAACTCCACAGACATTGAAAACCCCTTAGAAAGATTCAACCCTTTCCACATAAATCTACGCCATTCAGGGGCATCGTGACGAACGCTTCGATAAACCTTAAAAGAACAGCAAAAATATTCCAAAAAAAGAAAAAGAAAAGAAAATGATGCATCACTTGATCAAGAAGTGAAAGAAGCCATCATCAAGTTGAACAGTACACTAGTATACTACTTACAGCTACACTAGACAAGACACAATAGCGTAAGATTTTTTTTCAAACAATTTTTCAACTGTCGGGCAGTATTTATTCAAATTGAGGACGTCGGTTCGTTCCACATCAGAACAACGAGTCGGAATTATTGAATGCTGCTTTCATAAGACATGGAAATGAAAGCACATTTCATTCATTATTTCCTTATTTCAAGAGATCTACTCTCTTTCAAGCTTCTAGATCTCTTCTTTTTTCTTCCGAAAAGCCAAATATTGCTGCATTGCTGTAAAACATCCAAGTAGATTTGGCACCTGTCAACAATTCCAGGGAAAATAAATTCGAACATAGAAATTGATTTTTTAAAAATGAATCAAAAAGTTGAAATCAGCGTCGATGGAGGAAAAAGAAAACTTGGGTATACCGGAGAAAATATCCGGATATCGGGGAGCACACGTGAGAAAAGCCGCATTTTAGAAATCCGTGAATCAATACGGTCGGGGATCCGACTCCGCTGAAAAACACGGGTTGGCAACAGTGGTGATGGTGGTCAGGAGCAGAGAGGGAGAGAAAAGGAGACACGCACATTTCTGCAGCGCAAATATCGCCGTGGGAACTGTGAGGATCTTTTCGCATCGAAAAGAAGAGGGCAAACTTTTCCTCGCAAATTCCCACAGCATTATCATAAGTCACATGACTTTCCTTTGCAACTGAAAGCTTAAAAAAGCCTCAAGAGAAAAACAGAGAATATTCCAACACAAATAAGTGCAGCTCATGCCAATCCAATTTTTTTTTTCTTTTCTTTCCTTTTCAGCCCAAGAAAAGCGCAAAAATGAGCCATCAATCAAAACAGCAGGTGCGTGGAACATTAAATCCGACATTTCGTTTGCAGCAGGGCTGTAATTTTCATGAAGAATTTGTTTCAATCCGCTCCGATTCTTGCAATTACAGATTGAAATAAGAATAAGAGACGAGTTGAAAGTGCGCATTATCCTAAATACTGCATACTTATTCGCACATTTTACAGCTTTTCAGGAGTATGCCCGAGTACTAAAAATGTATTTCAAATTAATGACAGAAAAACCTTTTTTTGTTTTTGTTGATGCGAAAATGTTTGCTCGTCCGATAACCTGTTGTGATCCTGGCAATTTTCGTGGTAGCTTTTTTAAAAGCAGAGAATTGTAGATACGGTAATCGATCCCAAAAGAGGCTCGAAATCATCAACTCAAAGATATTCATACAAATTTACTTCAATGTGCTGTAGGTAAATATACGACCTACAGTTGTAAACCATTCCTCACACGCGCCAACGCGAACAACCCGATATTACTGGTCATCTTCTTCTATTTAAATCCATTGAAAGTACTGTACTGTATTTCAATACTCCTTCTTTCCGAATGCACCATCAGTTCATCCCGACCCAGTCATTTTCCCCATCCGAGAATTTTGGCATCAGAGCATAAAAACATGGGACCGAAAATTAAGCCAGGTCTTTTCAAGAGTCAGCCTTGAGCGAGGTTCGGAGAGTGATTTATTATACTGCGGAGTACGATAGAGTACTTCCCGTTTCCGCGTGGCGGACGTGTCTAGGTTTCTTTTCAATACGGACCCAAGGACGAATGAATCGCTTACACAATTGTAAAACCTTCAATCTAGTTTTAAAATTGCCGCACTATTTTAAGGCGTGACTCGTGAGTTATTGTACGCACCCTAAAAAGCCCACCCCGAAGACTTTTTTCTTTTTCTTTTTTCATCATCGAAGCACCGCTTGTGCAGAACAGTTTCTTAATGCACCAGGAAAAGTACCGAGTTTGGTTCAATACACTACAGTACAGTGCTGTACACGAGAAGCTTTCCAGGACAAGCTGGGTAAGACACGAATTAAACTAAATTTTCAAATATCGTATTCTTCTTTAATCGCCATTGTCTGAACCGACAGGTGTTGAACGATTTACAACAGTGATGGACTTATTCGACAGGGCTTTTGAAAAGTTCAGAAAAGGAGCTTCTCGCGATTCCATTTCATTTCCGCTCTGTATGGAGAGGAAACAAAAAACTTGACTATACTGTGCGTAACTGAATGCTCGAAACATGCGGGTCTGGAGTTGCTCACATTAGAGCCAGAAATTATTCCACAATTAAAATACAGAATTAATTTAGTCCGCTTATGTTTCATCACCATCAATAGGTTGATCACATAGCAAAAAAATAGCAGAAATAAATACTGTACTATTGAGTGGATCTGAATAAGTAATGTACAGTATTCGACTAGATAAGCGAAGATTGATTTTTTTTTGTCTTCCAAGTATGATCCCGGACAAACTTCCTATACTTCCTTTTCTCCCATAAAAATTTCAGCCCAGCTGAGAAAACAATAAACTTCGTCTTCGATGTATCGAAGTGAAAATCCGGGAATACTGTACTTACAAAGCAACTCTGAGGCATTTTCCGGTGTAGTTCCGGGAGTTTTATACTCTTTTTCAACTCGTTTTTCGTTGAAAACGTAAGGCCATTCTTCCACAGAAAAACAAACAAAAAACAAACAGATATCATGCCAACAAAAGACTCACCTCATTTGCGCTTCCGGAATGATGTCGTCAATGACGACAAACACCATGGCCCCGCCAGCAAACGCTAAAGCAAATGGCAGCAGGGGTTCGGCAATACCCACGGCATACGCACCCAGAATCCCGGCCACGGGTTCCACCATCCCACTCAGCTGACCATACCTGCAACGATCGAACCAGAAAATGTATTATGTATCCTCGTCAGAATTCCAGAGAAATAAATGTAAAAAAAATATGGCAGTCTGGGTCTTGACACGAGAACCGAAAACAGCTTTCAAAAAAAAAAAAAAACAGTATGTGGCGAAATGGATCGCGAGGAATGAGATCATCAGTGTGGTGATTCAGACATTCGACCACACCCAACGAAACTGTCGATCAAACGTAACAATGCGCCATTAACTGAACCTAACCCACGCAAGCGAAAGCTAAAAGAAAATGAATTGCGCGAGTCTTTCAGTCCGGTGCGCAGGTTTTTGGAAAAAAGTAACAGTTTTATCCCCAAGTCCTGTGGGTCTATTAAACGTTTTGTGCAAAGTGTTTGGGAGGTGCTGGCTGCGAAGTAATCTTGTAAAGTCAGGATTGTTTAGTTGCTTTGTAAAAAAAAGGAAAATAAGAAAGGAAGAAACATTTCATGAATTGATCAAATAAAATGAAAATGCTTCGACCATTAGAAAGTCTAAGACGACAAAACATCACTCAGGTTGAATACACTTTCGCAACTTGGAATATCTCGAGTTATTCAACTTCAACTCAAGTGTTTCTTTTAAATATAGACAATTTTTCGAAAGGCAGGATTTTTTCATAGAAGCACAGTAAAGATACAGTACTCATTTCTGGAAGTAGTTCATATTACTGCAATTGAAAAAAAAAAACTATTGAAGAATCAATCAAATTGAAGTGCTTCAAAGGTGTTCAACTTTTCCTGGAACAACCTGTAAATGAACATCACCAATCACTCAACTAATGTACCTTTCGTTCCTGATTCGATCATTTGGGAACGCGTAAAATAAACTATCCCACTTCCGATTTTTTGGGCTCATTGAAAATCAAAGTTTACGATTTAATCGATCATCAGATAATTCAAAGCGGGACGCAAGAGTCGGATCGCAGAAAAAGAATATCAAATAAATCCATCAACGGATCAATCAGGAAATCACGGATACCCTGCTCGAGAATCTCGTCAGTCCATCAGCAAACACAAAACAGATCAATAAGTGGAATAAGAGATCACGCAAAAGATACTTTCAGCAGAAACTTTGACAGATGTTTCGAGTTTCGTGGAATTATGACTTCAGTCGAAGTTTTTCCCACGTTGGACGAAAATCTATTCTTTCTTTCTTCTTTTTTTTAATATCGGCAGTACTGTACAATTGATTTTGTTTCTTTTCGTAAACTGTGAATAGAATTTTTAAAAAATGTTCTGCAGTCAGCAACAATGCCATCTGTCACAATCTCGGACAGAGAAAATACGAGAAGATTTCTCTCTACAAAAAAAAAACCGTTAGCTTGTCAGCAAAAACAAATAAACGTTCCTCCCACATGCCATAAAAAAAGAGAAGTTCCTTAAGGTGGACTGGAGCTAGCCGGCTAACCATGAACGCCATGAATGTAGGGAACCTTTTGGAGTCGACTCTTTAAGGTGTGGGTGCAATTTACGGCGGGTGCTAAAGGGTGGCAAATGTTGAACAACTCCCACATTGCTGAACTGAGAATCCGCTTTTATTTGTTTATACCGTACATTAAAACCCGTTGTGGGAGTTTGATCATCAGCATCATTTAATTCAACACGAACCTCCTTCGCGTCCATAAATCCTTTTTTTTATTTTGAAAATATAATACTGTATGTTCATTTTCGATATAAATCGAGCGAATATGGGCATTTTGTCCGTCAGCATTCATGACTGATGGAAGGACGTGTGCGTGACAATTTTGCATTTTTCAGCGGTGAGGGGCAAGAGAAGCCGTGAAAAAATAATCATCGGGAAATACTTGAGTAATTACCGTTCAGTGCATTACTCAAAAGACAGCCGAATGACTATAATTTTTCTTCCTACAATTTCCTGGTTTCTCTTCGTTCGACCCTCAGACTATAACGCATCAAAAACGTGTCATAAAGGAATAAATGCGGAATTTTCCCGCCGTTTCGAATCTTGAGAATAAATATCGATTTTGGCACTGAAATAGAGTGAAACCAAAAAGAAAATTTCTCTACGCAGAATAAAAATTGAAAAAATAAATCACTGACACCAGGGACATTGCCCATATACTGAAACCATTGGTCAGATATGATAATGGACGCAGACATGCTTTTCTTTATTAATTTCAATATCGAGAAATTTTCACAGTCGAGAAAATGATTTCATATGCAGTGTCTTTACAGTCACGACAATTTCTCGACGGCGGCCTTGGAATCACAGGCTGGCGTTCGAGATTTTCAAAAAGTATTATTTCTCCCATTCCTGCGAATCTTTCCACTAACTTGAGATTTCCTAGATGCCCGGGCTCCAGCACTCGACACCGGAGTGAACTTAAGGTTTTGCTTAATATAAAAAAGCAAGGTATTGCCGTTTGAAATTAAATGTCTGACATAGTCGTGGTGCCTTTCAAGTTTTTTGCGCAGTGAACTAGGTTGTCTTTTATTAGAGTTGCCACTTATAATCAACCTTTTTTTTTTCTTTCGTCCACACTTGAAATTGACTTGGCAACCAGAAAATCCATCGACAACGCAGAAATCGCGTTCAGCATTCCGTCTCCCAGCCAGTGAAGTCGGCCTATATTGATTATTTGTAAGATGCCAAAACCGAAAGAACGGTTGCTGCTGATGTCAATTGCGAAAATATTTTTTGGAGCTAAACTTCAAAAGAATGTAAGCGGAAATTTTGGCAATACATTGATCGACCGTAAAACTGCTGGAAATCATGCTGAGAGGAATCAAGGCCCAAAGTTTAAAATACTGCTTGATAAGAGGGCAATTTCCCCTTTTTTATTATTCGCAAGTCTGACCAATGAAAGAAAATCCCCTTGGAAAAATAAAATGTACGAGTCAGTTCTTCAAACTCGGGCTCATCTTCTCCTTTTTCACCCAACCACTGTAGGAAACTTGAGAAAATCAGCACAGACACACACTGAGCTCTTTCTCCTCTTCAATCGGGACCAACATCCTTTCAAGAGAGGGGGGTTCTCAAGGAAGAAGACGAGCTAAAGTGGGGGGGTCAAGAACCTGTCTGGTGGGGTCCACAAAAGACGCCGGCAAGCCGTCCATCAAGTACGGCATCAATTTCCAGTCCAGTGCAGCCCAGGAAAGCACCGTGTGAGCAAAACGCTGCTGCTTCAACCGTTACTCACATATGAGAACAGCCAATACACACACACACACACACACGATCCTTTTCCCCTTCAGGGCACTACTTTTCCGACAGGTAGAAAAAACAAACGAACAAGTCAACGCACTTGTGAAAAGCGTCAAATTTATCAACAAGTGGGAAGTGAATCCAGGGAATTACACCATTGAAAATTACGGGAATTCCAGAAAAACACGTTCATTCCGAACAAATCGATCTTTCTCGAATCGAGAAAGTCGTATTTTACACCCCCAAGACGTGGAGAAAAATGAACGAAACCGCTTTTGCTCGTTATGTCTTCCCTTGAGCCACATAATCTTCTCCAGCATACACAATAAAATAAAAATGCAAGCTTTGAAACTTAGGGAAAATGTTGGTATGAATGAATATGTCAAGCCATTCCCCCCCTCCCCTTTTTGAACGCCATCACTCTATATATCCGTTTCTCTCGGAAAATTCCCGATCCTCATTAGCAAGGATGACCGGATTTCTATCGTTTCTCGAATTCAATATCGATGAAATCAACACACCAGCGATAGTGTGCTATACTTTATCCGAAAGATGCAAATGTAAATTTTTTCCCCCTCAAGTTTATAAGAGTTTTCAAGGCCATTCATTCTCCATTTAAATTTGAAATGAACGTGGTCTTCTTTTGAACAGCATGATTAATGACAATTTTCAACTATGAAAAGATGCCTTGAACCAACAAGATGGATGAGACAGACAGACAGACAAACAAGATACAGTACACTGTTGTATTGTACTGTATTCCACTACCAAGTGTGTTGCGGCATAACCCTTTGCACCTGATGGAAGAGACAGACACATTCAACGCAACTAAAACCACCCCGCTTCTCCAAAAAAGTTGAACAACGAAACCCTTCAAGAAGTCCAGTAGTTGAAGGATAAAAATTCTTGAACCCACTCAAGGTATAAAAAAATATATATAAACTGAAAATGAAATAAAATCTCGTCTCGCACGTGAATTACTAAACCTACCCCCTAGTGAACTCATTCATCCACAAAGACCATGCAAATGCTGATGATGATGACGACGTTGGTTATTCAGTTATGAACTGACTAGATTCCGGGACATCATCTACTATGCGAATCAAAACGCTTGCGGTCCAAAAGTATGGAATTTCACCGCCAAGGAATGCATTTCTCGTCTCCCCTTGCCCTCAACTCTTGAGAAGAGAAAGAGAGAAAGAAAGAAAGAGAGAGCTAGACTTGGGTTGCTTCGTTGTTTGTCGGTGAGACAGTGCAAGAGGGGGAAAAGCAAGAGATTGGAACAACAAGACAAGAAAAAAACGACAACAACAACACAAGGAAAAGCAGAATGGAAAACAAGAAGACGAAGACGAACAAGAAGAAGAAGAGGCCAATGGGATGCAGCACGAGGCCCGCATTATGCAGGCCTAAGGTTGTGCGCGGTCACGGGCGTGAGTCCGGATTCCGGGCCACTGCCTCCGATGCTCTCCGACCGATTCATACCAAGCACCCTCTATGCAGTATTCTGCTCGTCTTCACACACACACTTGGTCTTTTCTCTCCCTCTCTGTCTCTCTCTCTCTTCGACATTCCTCAAAGGGCCAAAACAAATAGGCACACGCAAAAAAAAAAACCAACCTCCGCGGAATCAGCGGGCTCTTCCTAATTTTTTCTCTCTCTTGGCGCTTCCGAAGAATTGAGCAAAAATGTGCGGCAATGCGAAAAACAAAGAGATCAATAATCATTCAATCGGGGAGAAAAGGGGGGGCCTCTGCAAGAAATAAAATAAAGAGTTGGAAACACTAGACAGTGGCATTTGTGACTATAATAACGTTCTTCTCTTTCGGGTTGAGGCGAATGACCTCAGGGGATGCTGATGACACATCTCGGGGGGAAATGGATACTCCAAAATAAAATGAAGAAAGCCGCAAACATTCAGTTGACGCAGGTATCAAAGCTATATGTATAAAGTCAGTTGGGTCATTTAAAAAATGGACATTCAGCAACAACCACAACAACAATGAAAAATAAAAACAGTTACAAACTCAAAATAACGTACTGCATCAAACATTTTCAAAAGGTAGGGTAACGCAAAGTTGATTATATTATCCTTTGATCATTCGTCGTTGCTCTTTTTTTGTCCTTCATCTAATTAGATAAACCGACCCCCCCCCCCCAAATTCCTCTGCGAAAAAAAAAAAATACATATATATATTGAAAGAACGTAGTCGCAAAATTTACATGAATACTCCACTCCTGAAAACAGCCAAAATTCAAGTCAACAGTACGTGTTGAATTCGTTCTAACATTTGTGATCTTCCAAATATTGTTTCGTAAATCAACAGCATCGGGATTGCGTGTTGAAAACGTAGGTAGGCGGCAAGATTATGCACTTTTCACAACTCACCAGAAGCTTCTCCACAGCGAAAATCCAGCTCCATGAAGCGGCAAACTCACAGCCAATCCTTCCGGGAAATTCTGAATCCCGATTCCCAGCGCCAAATTTCTGCAAAACAGACAAAAGACCAAGCCTCATTTTTAAAACTCATTTCCTGCATGTTGAAAATAGCTGAACTACGGTGGCCTTGAATGATGAAAAAAAAGGCAAGAAAAAGAAACCCATGATATTCTTAACGTACACTCGAGTACAATCGTATTGCAATTAATATACAGTACAGTACTGTACTGCACACAAAAACGCGCCTTCA